GGGGGGGGGGTGGAGAATCCATCGAGGGGGGGGGGGGTGTCCCCGCGTCCCCCTCCCCAAATTTCTGATTCCTTTCATTTTGTGCCCCCTCCCACAGCAGCCTCCCGTCCCCGGTCTGGATGACGCCGCACCCTACAACAGCCCCCAGCCCCAAATGCCCCCCACCACCGCCCCTCCCCAGCCCCCCCAGCCCCATCCCATGAGCACGGGGGGGGCTCAGCCCCAAGGAGGTGGGGGGGGCCCTCCTCAGCCCAGCCCCACTGCTGCGTACCCCCCCCATTCCTACACCGAGAGCCCCGGCCCCAAACCCAAGAAGGGGCAGCAGCTGTGGAACAGAATGAAGCGTGAGTAATGGGGCGGGGGGGGAGGGTGGGAGTGGTTTGGGGCTGGGGTCCACTTGGGGCCCCCAAAAATCTCACTTCGTCTGCCAGATGTTGCTCTTGGATCTCTGTCCAGTCCCACAAACCCTTCAGAGCCCCAGATATCGACCCCAAATTCTCTTTCCAGCCCCCCAGTCCCCTTCAAACCCCTCCATATCACCCCAGAATTTCCCCAGCCCCCCAAGCCCAACAACAACGCCCCCCAAAGCCCTTTTATCCCCCCTCAAACCTCCGCAGGCCCCCCCCACCTCCTCATCACCCACTTTTCCCCCGTTCCCACCCCACAGAAGCCCCCGGGGCGGGCGGCCTGAAGTTCAGCCTCCCGAAGCGACCCTTTGTCTTAACGAACCCGACCTTTAACGAGCAGCACAGCACCGAGAAGCACCACAGGTGAGCACAGCATCGGGGCCGCCCCGCGCCGGGGGGGGTTTACAGCTATAGGGTCGCCCGCAGTGACCCCACAAACCCCACAGCAAGCCCGAGGATTGGCCTCAGGCCATGAAGGAATACGTGCAGCGCTGCTTCACCGCCTGCGAGTCCGAGGAGGCCAAGGACAGAACGGAGCAGCTGCTGAAGGAGGTGCTGCAGGCCAGGCTGCAGGATGGCACTGCCTACACCATCGACTGGAGCCGCGAGCCTCTGCCGGGGTGAGCCCCCAAACGGGGACCCCATCGTCCCCCATTGCCCCCCAAAATGGTGGCCCCACGATCCCTGGAAATGATGCCCCACGACGTCTCATTTTTTACTAAAATAATGGTTCTGTGATGTCATAGGGTGCCATAAGAACCTATAGGGTGCCATAGGGATCCGTAGGGTGCCATAAGAATCTATAGGATGCCAGAAAGATCTGTAGGATGCTGTAAGAACCCATAGGCTGCAATTAGGGCCCATAGGGAGCCATAGGATGCCACAGAGGAATCTATAGGCTGCCATTAGGATCCATAGGGTACCATAAGAACCCATAGGGATTCATAGTGTGCCATAAGAACCCCCTGCCCCCCCTCAGAGCCCCCTGCCCCTATTAGTGCCCCTATTAGTGCCCCCCTGCCCTCTCTCCAGGAGCTCCACATCCCTCTATGCCAGGTTTCCTGGGCCTGGCCACGTTACTCCAGTTGGGGTCTCCCAAGTGCTGGATGGGGGGGGGGCACAACCCCCCCCTCAACCCCCCACCCCCCCGTTATCTCTCTGCCATCTCAGCCCCTCTCTGCCCCCCCAGGCTGAGCCGTGACGCCGACAGCCCCAAGAAGAAGCGCTGGGAGGGCCCCCCCCGGCCCCCCCCCAACTCTGGGTTGGCTCAAGGCCCCCCCCAGCAGCGCCCCAACCCCCCCCCGGGGGGCAGCTCGGCGTTGGGACCCCCGCAGCCCTCGGCTCGGGGCCGTGCTCGGGGCGGAAGCTTCGGCCCTACAAAGTTTGGGAACCGAAACGTCTTCATGAAGGAGCACAGCTCCTCGTCCAGCGCCGGATCCCGATCCCGATCCCGATCCTCGTCCCGCTCACCCGGGAGGCACTTCAGAAGGAGGTGGGTGGATTTAATGGGGGGTCCCATCCCCCCAACCTCCCCCCGTGGCCGTTTTGGGGTTCTGTGACCCCATAGGGTCCCGCTGTTTTCTTTGTCCTGCAGCGATTCCCATTCTGACTCCGACAGTTCTTTGTCCGGCCCCGAAGTCAGGGTGGGAGCCCGGCAACGCCTCGGCCCCAAAAACAGGGGGGGGCGTGGGGGGCACGCGGAGAGGGGGAGGATGAGGATGCAGAGGGGGAAAAGGTAATGGGGGGCGTTTGGGGTCTGGAGTTTGTTCCGTTGGGGCGGGAATTGGGATTGGGGTGAGATTGGGATTGGGAGAGGTTTGGGGTGGGGATCAGTTTGGGGTGGGAGTAGGATTGGGATTGGGGTCAGTTTGGGGTGG